CTCTGGCAGACTTTGAGGAAAGAAATGAGGGGCATAGATGGAGTCCCTGAGAAATACGGACCAGATGATTGCCAATTTCACTGGCAACATCTAGTGGGTTTGCTATATCAACAGGGGAAACCCGCAGAACAGGAGCCGGGTCAGGGAATATTTACACTCAGTTTTCGTACTTTTTTCCAGACTCCCATTTCATAGGGGAAAGCAGAGGTGATGGTGGAGACAATTTCCCCAGAAAGTGCGTTTAGCATCACGGATGACACGGCGAGCGATCGCACGCTTCTGTTTAAATTCAAGAAGTCTCTCTGTGGTTCTATTGTACCGGTACCTGCCCCATGCAGCGCGTTTCAAACGAAATGCACGAGCACAAGCAGGAGACCCCCAAGGCACGCATTTCTGAGAATGCCTCCCCAAAAGTTTGGGGTTATAGAATGAGAAGCTGCGGTTAAAACGGAGGACGAGAAGAGGTAAAAGCTCTTGATGGAGGCAAAGAAGGAACCTCTCTAAAAACAGTTAGGTGTGAGTAAAGGTTCCAATTTGCCTGATCAAATTGCAGCGGGGATGCGAAGAGGTGGTGAATATGAGGGGAAGTAAGAATGTTGGGAAATGATCGCTGTCATGTAAGTCCGGAAGAAACAGACCAAGTGAAGTCTAATGCGGCGGAGGAAGAGCAGAATGAGAGATCGATGCAAAAGAGAGTGGAGTCCGAGGATCAAATGGGGTGTGAGTACCTGTATTTAAAACATGGAGGGGGTGGGGTGGCAAGAAAAGCCCCTAACTGAATGCCACGGGAATCACAGTGAGACCCCCCCCAGAGGAAATGGTGGGCATTAAAATCACCAAGTAACAGAATCGGTGGTGGTAATGACGAAACAAGAAAGGCAGTATCCGGAATAGATAATGCCCAAGAAGGAGAGAGAGTAAAGAACAGGCGTATACCACCTATGCAAGTGGATACGGGTGCTGTGTAATGCAGCGAAGTACGAACAAATAGCTGATGGTACGGAATATTTAGTGTGTAGAAGAAGGGCACTTTCATTTAAAGGTCCCATCAGGAAAAGGACTGGAGGAATTCAATAAATTATAGCCTGGATGGGGAGATAACAGCAGAGTGTAATTTTGGTTCCTGTAAGCAAACACCAACAGGGGAAACTGGGGGAGTAACATCTGAAGCTCACCCCGATTACCCCTGAGGCCGCGTATATTCCACTGTAAATAGGCCATGATTGGCAATGATAAAGATACCTGAAATCCCCAGGTAAGGGTTCCTACGGACTAGAGGGGTTAGAAAAGTCCCATGTGGAGGCAGTTTGGAAAACGTTTTAACAGCGAAGGAACGGTGCGCTGTGAAGAAAGGAGTTGCGCAGATGGAGTAGAGGAGAGAGAAGGAGCGGGGGGGGGATCAGTGTCCATTGATGGTTTGGTCTCTGCAATATATTCAGAGATTTGCTTCAAGTGTTTCAGAATTCAGAGACGTCGTATGGAAGACAATATTGGGAAAAGGTAGGGGGAGGATGAGTAAAGATTGGAACTGTAATGGACTGTACCAAGGTAGGGGGGGACGGAAGGGTGGAGGGAACTGGAGAAGCGTGGAAGGGGACAGAAGAGGCAGAAACCTGGGAGGTGGCCGAACAGAAGAAACTTGGGAGGGAACAGGGAAGGAAGGGACAGTACGAGGAGGAGGGTGAACCTCTACACTTGTAACAGAGCCAGTGAGAGGGGGAGAACCAGGTACAGAGACAGGGAAGGGGAAATGAGGAGGGGGAAGATGGGTTTGGGGTGTTAACGGGACCTTTTTTTGACTTTTGAGAAGTAGAGGGACGATTGGGAGGAGGTGTCATACGAGATCTCATCGCTACTGAGGCTTGTGAGAGAGAACACGAAGAAGCAAGATCAGACTGAGCGCTGAAAATAGGGGCGTCTGAGCCGAGGACAGCAAAGAATTAGCTACAGGAGTGACTATGGGGAGGTAACCACAGAGGTGGGTGCAGAAGATGGGATACCAGAAGTGGGGGGACGTTTTTAAACACGGAATAAGAAACACGAGGTAGTCCTCCCTTGGAGGCGGAGATGAGAAACTGCCATGGCATAAGGGAGACCTTCTGCCTCTTTGAGGTAAAGGATTTTCCCACTCGTTTAAGTAGATTGACAAAAGGCGAGAGTACGAAGGGTGAGCCCCCATGACAATTAAGGCAAGAGGGAGGTCGATTGCAAGACGTATTAGAATGGTCATCGGCACCACAGACTGGGCATTCGGCGATAGATCTGCAATATTTCGCTGGATGGCCAAATCGCCAGCAATTTTACACTGTTGCGGTGTAGGGATCACCTTTCGAACTTGTAACCCATTTTCCTGCTACTAAAATGAGGATGGGATTCACGGCTGTCAAAAGTTAAACGAGCCACATTGCTAGGGTATCGTCTCCGCCCGCGGGCAGGAAGAACGTAAGTGGTCTACCTTGAGGGTTGGGAGATCTTGGAGTTCCCGCTGTTCAAGAATTGTCAGTGCCACATGTCTGGAAATTTTGTTTGAACTATGGTATGGGCAAATGATGGTACCATACAAGAATTGAGGGAATGATGCTTTTCAATAGTTTTCAGGAAAAAGTATCGATATGGGAAAGACGAGAAAGCTCATGAGCCTGGGTAGCATTCTGTACGGTGCGATGCTCGTACCGCTCTTAAGAGCATGAAAAGAAATATCTTTACCAACATGGGTAGGAGTGCCTTGCCAATACTGTGGTCAGAAAGATAGGCAGTAAAAGGAAGTCGGTCGTGAAGTGAAAAATTTAGTCCACTGTGCAGTTTGAAACTGAGCGTGTAAAGGTAGTGAAGGACGTGTCGATCTTTTCTGAGAAGAACGAGAATGTGGAAAGTATCATCACAGGTTAATTGTCATTGTCGTTTAGGGTGGGACCAGAGTTGGTCCGACGTGGAAGGGGCCGGCGATTCGAAAATTGCCGCACCCTAGAGGGAGAGGCCGGAAGCATAGTCAGGGGAGAGCGAAGGTCAGATAAATCGAAGGATTTAGTCGAGGCCTCAGTACCTGAAGCGGGTGAGGAAAACGGCACCGGGAAGAGGTACAGAGGCATGAAGAGTTTTCCGAAGAGTGGTCCCAAAGATGAGGCGGGGTCAGAACGGGGTGCGGTTCAAGAAGGGGCCCGGGGGGGGTAGCAGGTTCATGGACTAGGGCTGCCATGGTTAGGTTTAACTTCTTTTTTTTTTTTTTTTTTTTTTTTTATTATCACACCGGCCGATTCCCACCAAGGCAGGGTGGCCCGAAAAAGAAAAACTTTCACCATCATTCACTCCATCACTGTCTTGCCAGAAGGGTGCTTTACACTACAGTTTTTAAACTGCAACATTAACACCCCTCCTTCAGAGTGCAGGCACTGTACTTCCCATCTCCAGGACTCAAGTCCGGCCTGCCGGTTTCCCTGAATCCCTTCATAAATGTTACTTTGCTCACACTCCAACAGCACGTCAAGTATTAAAAACCATTTGTCTCCATTCACTCCTATCAAACACGCTCAAGCATGCCTGCTGGAAGTCCAAGCCCCTCGCACACAAAACCTCCTTTACCCCCTCCCTCCAACCCTTCCTAGGCCGACCCCTACCCCGCCTTCCTTCCACTACAGACTGATACACTCTTGAAGTCATTCTGTTTCGCTCCATTCTCTCTACATGTCCGAACCACCTCAACAACCCTTCCTCAGCCCTCTGGACAACAGTTTTGGTAATCCCGCACCTCCTCCTAACTTCCAAACTACGAATTCTCTGCATTATATTCACACCACACATTGCCCTCAGACATGACATCTCCACTGCCTCCAGCCTTCTCCTCGCTGCAACATTCATCACCCACGCTTCACACCCATATAAGAGCGTTGGTAAAACTATACTCTCATACATTCCCCTCTTTGCCTCCAAGGACAAAGTTCTTTGTCTCCACAGACTCCTAAGTGCACCACTCACTCTTTTTCCCTCATCAATTCTATGATTCACCTCATCTTTCATAGACCCATCCGCTGACACGTCCACTCCCAAATATCTGAATACGTTCACCTCCTCCATACTCTCTCCCTCCAATCTGATATTCAATCTTTCATCACCTAATCTTTTTGTTATCCTCATAACCTTACTCTTTCTTGTATTCACCTTTAATTTTCTTCTTTTGCACACCCTACCAAATTCATCCACCAATCTCTGCAACTTCTCTTCAGAATCTCCCAAGAGCACAGTGTCATCAGCAGAGAGCAGCTGTGACAACTCCCACTTTGTGTGTGATTCTTTATCTTTTAACTCCACGCCTCTTGCCAAGACCCTCGCATTTACTTCTCTTACAACCCCATCTATAAAATATATTAAACAACCACGGTGACATCACACATCCTTGTCTAAGGCCTACTTTTACTGGGAAAAAATTTCCCTCTTTCCTACATACTCTAACTTGAGCCTCACTATCCTCGTAAAAACTCTTCACTGCTTTCAGTAACCTACCTCCTACACCATACACTTGCAACATCTGCCACATTGCCCCCTATCCACCCTGTCATACGCCTTTTCCAAATCCATAAATGCCACAAAGACCTCTTTAGCCTTATCTAAATACTGTTCACTTATATGTTTCACTGTAAACACCTGGTCCACACACCCCCTACCTTTCCTAAAGCCTCCTTGTTCATCTGCTATCCTATTCTCCGTCTTACTTTTAATTCTTTCAATTATAACTCTACCATACACTTTACCAGGTACACTCAACAGACTTATCCCCCTATAATTTTTGCACTCTCTTTTATCCCCTTTGCCTTTATACAAAGGAACTATGCATGCTCTCTGCCAATCCCTAGGTACCTTACCCTCTTCCATACATTTATTAAACAATTTCACCAACCACTCCAAAACTATATCCCCACCTGCTTTTAACATTTCTATCTTTATCCCATCAATCCCGGCTGCCTTACCCCCTTTCATTTTACCTACTGCCTCACGAACTTCCCCACACTCACAACTGGCTCTTCCTCACTCCTACAAGATGTTATTCCTCCTTGCCCTATACACGAAATCACAGCTTCCCTATCTTCATCAACATTTAACAATTCCTCAAAATATTCCTTCCATCTTCCCAATACCTCTAACTCTCCATTTAATAACTCTCCTCTCCTATTTTTAACTGACAAATCCATTTGTTCTCTAGGCTTTCTTAACTTGTTAATCTCACTCCAAAACTTTTTCTTATTTTCAACAAAATTTGTTGATAACATCTCACCCACTCTCTCATTTGCTCTCTTTTTACATTGCTTCACCACTCTCTTAACCTCTCTCTTTTTCTCCATATACTCTTCCCTCCTTGCATCACTTCTACTTTGTAAAAACTTCTCATATGCTAACTTTTTCTCCCTTACTACTCTCTTTACATCATCATTCCACCAATCGTTCCCCTTCCCGGGGAGGGATAGTTCCTAGGAGGAATGAAAGGGCCAGAAATCTCCCTCCGTGCCCAAGAGGACCTCAGCACCGCAAGTAGCGCAGATGCAGCATGGAACCCATGCCATACCCTACCCATCATGCCAGTAAACCGGCAATCCGGGATAGCAACCTCACATCTGCCGAGCTACCTCGGTGGACAAAAGAGAGGGCGGCCAGAAATCCACCACAAAGCATACCTCCTTCGGCCACCACCCCCGGAATCTGAAAGGTGGCTTCCAGAGATACACCCGTCGCCCGAGAGACACCCAAAGCCACCCTCCGGGATACCGGAGAGGGATCAGGACATCCCCAGGCAATCCAGATTCCACGGCAAACTACGCCACCGCCAAGAACCTCAACGGAATGGGATGGACCCCGGTACCCTTTCCCCTACCTAGGAACTAGTGTGCCTGTGGGGAAAAAAAAAAAAAAAAAAAGGAAGGAAGGGCAAAAGGGAGGGGTGGGGAGGAGGAGGAGGAAAGGAAAAAGGGGAGGATGGGATAGGGAATGGGGGATTGGGGGGTAATTAGGTTCGGTCTGAGGAAGTAGACCGACAGGTCTAATTCCTCAGACCAAGAGCCTCTTCACCACGCCAAGGAGCCCCCCTTGAAGAGGTTTTGTGTGAATAAAAGTGAAGCATTAACAGTGTAGCAAGCAAGTTAAGCAATTAATTGATAGAAAAAGGACAGCACGAACTTAACTCCTCCAATGTTGTTGGAGTTATATAGGGCAACTGACAACGCCGCCATCTGTACCGCCTCTGCTTCCGCCTCCACCACCATGTAAGGCTTGTGCTCTCAGTGGCCCTTATACACCCCACAAAAACAACACAGCAAAACTCGTGACATACTTAATGATGTATTTTATTCATTCTAGAGTATATGTCATGTTTCTATGTTATTAATATTTTTTATTATGTCATATTAGATGAATTGTAACAGATAAATAAGCCTTAGAGTTGATATTACTAATGTGTCATACTGAAGGACTATCTTGTCCTTTCTCCAAAAAAAGCTCTGCCACTGCCACAATTCTTAACATACGTAATCACATATTTTAAATATGATTAGGTGGCTGGGAAACAGCCAAGCAATGGACCATTTCTCCTAGGTTGAGCTCTATTTCAAAGTACTTTTCGTCGTGAAAGCAATCTAAATCATATCTATTTCTGTAATATACACCTACCATCCGACTTACAACCTGCTCGACTTACGACCACTCGACTTACAACCGTGTTTTTTATGCCAAATTTCTGGGAAATAAACAACTATTGGTGTTGTACACAGTGTTTATCTTAAACCTTTCCTGTCTTCATGAGTAAATTTAATTAGTTCCTGCAAACTGTTGAAAATTAAATGGTAGTGCCACATGCATCAACAGCCTAACCGACCTAACAGCTCATCTCTGCTAGAGCAGCAGGGTGAGGTGATTATAGGAATGACCTCACCATCTAAATCCCCCAACCCTCCTTCATTTTTAATTGCCTAGTTTTTTTTTTTCCCAGGCTTTCTCATCTCATTACTCTGTCTCCAAAACTTATTATTATTCTCAAGAAAATTTCCTGATAAAGTCTTACCTATTTCTCACTGCCTCTCCACATGCACTCCCTCACCACTTATTTTGCTTCAATGTCTCTCCATATACTTCACCCTCTGTATATCTTTTTTACTATATTAATTGTTTACAAAACTGGAAAGCAGATGAAAAAAACACATTTACCACTTGGGTATCTTTACTGTGGAGACATTTCAACAGCTAGTGACTTTATCAATCCAATTAACCCGTAAACGGTCCAAACGTATATATACGTTTTTACCGCTAGTGCCCCAAACGTATATATACATTTTATGTGTCCTACATTTAACATTGCCACGATAAGCCTTAGTTACCTAGACATGTGAGAATGGGTGCGAGCACTCACTGTGCACCATATTAAAATAATTGGGGATGCCTAGGTACCATATGCTCTTTTTTCCTATTAAAAAACAACAATGATTTTTTTCTCAAAAAAGTTGGGGCAGTACGGTAGTGAACGTATATATACGTTTGGGCCGTTTATGGGTTATGAGAATAAACATTGAAGATGTGATGATATAATTTTTTTTTTTAGGTGGTTAGTCCCTCAGCACTGATAGGTGGTGTCTAGTCCTTCAGCTGATGATGAATGACTCTTAGTTATCAAGGCTTAGGGACTGGCTACCTCAAATTACTGAATGCCTTTTTTGCATGACCCCTCACAAGAGGTTTCTGTATTCATAGCATTTTTGGAAACATAACCTCTGCGGCATATGATTTTAACCCTTAAACTGTCCACACATAGATATAAGTTCACATGCGGCAGGCTCCGAACGCAGATCAATGTTTTATTTTTCATTCCTTCAAATTTGATGCAATTAGTCTGATTCGTCTACACATGAAAGAATGGCTCTGTGCATTCAGTGTGTGCACTATGAAAAAAATCAGGGACCACTTGGTACCTTGTGGGAGTACCAGTTCAATTGAGCATCAGCTAGAGCAAATAGCATGGCAAACACCAGTGATTCACTGATGTCATGTCATATTAACACTCACATTTTAAGAGGAAAGTAAAAAAAATAGGTTAGATAAATGCACAAGTGGGTGTGGGTGGGTGCGAGTTGGACCTGACTAGCTTGTGCTACTGGGTCATATGTCGTGCTCCTTCTTTCAGTGGATGTAACCTGACTAGGTGGGTCATTGGTCTAAATTGGTGGGGGGGGGTGACATGGACCTGCCTTGCATAGGCCAATAGGCCTGCTGCAGCGTTCCTTCTTTCTTATATTCTTATGTCTTCAGCTGGCTTTGGCTCTCTCTGTCTGTATCTGTCTATATCTCTATCTATATACCTGTCTGTCTATATCTCTATCTGTCGATCTATCACTGTCTATCTGTATCTCTGTCTATATCTCTGTCTCTCACATGTACTCATAAATACAGTTACACATAGTATAAATTACCTAGGATAACCCAAAAATTCCAAGCCAAGTGCTATATAGTGTTTGTAGATATAAGACAAACAAACATGACGCAAATAATAGTGTCACTTGCTCAGCAATCAGGGAGCGGCACATACACCACAAACCAACAGGCTTACTAGCCGCTCCCTGAGACAGAGACAAGAAGGTGGAAAGACAGACACACACAGGCAGACAGAAAGGCAGATAAGCAGAACTTGACAGACAGATAAGCAGAGCTAGACAGATAGATAGATGTACAGATAGACAGACATACAGAGACATATTTGTGTGCAAGAGTAAAGGCAAGGGTTCACCCTCCAGCAGTGCACATTCATCAAATGTCACTTGTTATCTGACACTTGTCATAACACCATTATTCAAGCTCATATTATACTCTAGGTATACACAGAAGACAGAAAGACATAAGTTGAACTGGACAGACAGATAAGTAGAGCTAGGCAGACAGACAGATGTACAGATAGACAGGAAGACAGAGTGATAGACATACAAAGACATGTTTATGTGCAAGAGTAAAAACATATAATGGCAAGGTTCCCGCCATGTTTCAAGGAGTTTCATACTCCAGCGTGTCTAAAACATTGCTGGGACCTATAAATACTTTGCATATGTTTCTAGACTATAGTAAATGACTAGGGCAGGTGAAAATGCTCACCTGTCAGTGTGATTGTTACAATTTAAGTATTATTTCAGTACATAATATTAGTGTCAGAACAAAGATTGGCTATGAAATCACAAGAACTAGTATTATAAATTGTAATTATCAGAACATAAAAATTATGTAAATTAAAATAAAAACGAGAAAAAAGGTAAATCGGCAACACTTCTGCAAGCGGCAGGACTGGATATTGCTGTCAGGTGAGCATCCAGAGATAACTTCGTGCTCTTATATCTCGGGAAGTACTGGTCTTAAAAATTTTTTGGGGGTCTTATACCACACAGAAAATTGCCTCTAATTTAAAAACAAAAATTATTTTTTTTATTTTTCAAAATATTTGGAGTGCCATGCAGGTGAACATAGACCTGCATACATTTGGACAGTTTAAGGGTTAATGGGTTCCCTATTTTCATTTTCCTTGGTATGCTCCTACCCCAGATTTCCATATTCACATTATTTCTAGGAACCTGACCACTGCAAACTATGGAGTTCTGCTGCAATCTCATTTTAAAAGTTAAATGACATGGCACCATGTCTTATATATTTAAAAAGTAGCTGTTAAAAATTATATTTAATACCCACCAAAAAATATTACAACAATTCTAATTATCAATTATATCTTGGGCCATAATTCTCAAGAATTTTTTCATAAATATTTACAATAAAATTGTTTCTCAATTAACAGACCACTAAACAAGTAAATATTAGAAAGATTTAAACAGGACACTGTAAACAAGTTCAGAGTAATTACAGTAATTTCCTTCTCATAAACAGTGAAGAAAAGAGCTTCCATATAACCTTAAAAATTAAAAGTACATCCTACATCAATCAAATCCTTTAAAATTTACATAAAACTAAAAAATATGTAATTTACAATTTAAATAAAAATATAATGCACATTAAAAACATAAATTAAGTAAACAAAACAAGAATTGGCAGCACGTGATTTAAAATATTATTTAAACAGGCATATTGATCATTTTTCTGACAAGTTAGGTCAGAGATCCTTGTTTTAGACATCTCTTATTCCTTTCATCAGATAATGAAGTACCTGATTTCTTTAAGGTTGTTTTCATGATCATGAGAGTTATAGGTTTTTTATAACTAGGAATTATCTTCACAGGTCTTTTATCAATTTATTACAGAATCATTTGTATTCTGTAAATTCTAAAAAATGGCAACATTTACTTAACTTCTACTGACTGTAGTAAAAAGAAAAAAATCTTGTTATCAATGCTATTTACAAAATAACATTAAATTTAGTGATGAAATTTACAGCAAAACTTAATGAAATTATTTCTCAACTTTTACCACATTAAAAACGTGCTTCAATTATAAACATTTAAGCATGCAACCGTACCGATCAAATCCTTTCTTCTTTCTCTGCCACCATGACGGCTGTTGTGCATCATCATTTTCATCACCTTTATCATCAACTTCTACAGCTTTAGCTGTAAAGAAAATGGGTCATGAGCTGGCCTCACAGCTATATCTATTGAGTTTTGCTTTAAAACTTGGAATAAGGGTGGTAAAGGGGAGGGGTTCTATGTATAAACTATATAGATTTTTATTATATTTCTGTACATATACTAAGAATCTAAATCAGTCTAAGATATCTGGGATATATACGCACAAAGGGATAAATGAAACAGGTTTTGGTGATACTGTATCTACAACTACATTTGCAATAAATGTTTTAAAAAATTTGGTACCTACTCATATTCCATTGTATTAACACCATGTAACTAACCACAGCAACATGTAAATGGATTCAACACCTTACTGGGTAAACAGAGTATTTCTACAGTAAGGACACAAATGACATCTGATGTGATGTGCAAGGATAAAATAAAGGAGAAACAGAAGGGTGTACACATGCAAAACATTCTTGGAGCACTTGCAGGGCAATGTACACAGTGAAGAGCCGGAGACCAAACATGGGTCACATCTACGTCCATAATCATGGCACCATATTAGCTCAATGATGCAGTGGCAACTTTGGCATGAACAAGCTTCATTGGTCATGAGAGGGAAACATGCAATCATGAGGGATACAACTGATGAAAGGCTTTCTAAATAAAACTGGTCAGTGCTGGTGATGATAGCACTGGGTCAAAAAATTAAAGAATGCAACACAACTAATAATAAAAAGAAAGGCTATAGAATAAGAGACAATGATTTATTTATCTGTTCATAGGAATACTGTCTCTTTTGTAGACATGGGGGTCATTTTCTGATTACAGAAGAGAAAAATGCATGTATAATTATCACCAATTTTCAAAATACTTGAGTATTTATATCTATGGCTTTGGACAAAGTTTGTAGGTAAAAGAGGCAACCAACCAACAAGTAGATGACAGATATATTAAACAGTGTAAGCCTTTATAATGTTTCCCTCAAGGAGAGTTATTCTGTCAAGTCATAAAATGCATGTCAACTACTCCACTTGTAATATCTAATCAGGCAAAAGGGGTAGGTCAGGACCTGGGTCAAGTGACTTGGACTGCTGCATGGGTGAAATCAGGTGAAGGAAGAGGTGAGGAATGGGTCCACTACCCTCACCTGACCTTCCCCCACACAGCAACCAAAGTTACATGACAGGTTCTCACCTCCACTCTTCACCTAACCAAACTAACAATATAAGGAGAAGCTAACATATTTTCTGAATATGATAAAAGTTAACTTTGAGTCCAACATTCTTATAATAAAGTTTACACTGTTTCCTGGGTTTTTGTCATTTAGAAATTGCTGAAGCCTCAATGGTTGACAGTCAAGTATGAAGCAACAGATAAAGAGATGATATAAAAGGAGTAGGGGTACTGTATACAGTATATATAAAAAAAATGAATTTTGATAATATATAATAATGACAAGAGGCAATTATTTGGGAATGTAATAAACTGTGGGAATATTGGAATTAAGAGAAATGTTACTCAAAATTGAGAGTAAGGGTCATACAGCACCTGGGAAATGATAAGGGTATGAGATAACAATCATCTACAAATTTTGAACAATTTTGTGCTTTGGAGGAAAAAAGGTATTTCACCTTATGTTTTTCCGGGTGCTGAAAATGAATATGAGCATAGTAACAATCAAGTGGCTAAAGGAAATCATATGTATTCTTTAAACAATTACTCATTGTGGCTATAGAAAACTGTATGCATGGTTTAAACAATTACACATTACTTAATTACCCTTCTCCCTTCCTAGGTCAAAGACAACAGTGATCGGCCTGAGCCCATATCTTTATAAACTGAGCCAATTTGCAATTTTAAACATCATTTCCATATTCAGTGACCCACACTTAGAAAAGAATGACCAGTTCTATTTCCAAAGCTATTTTACTATAGACCAGTATAATCAGATCCAAAGGTGTAGCTCCA